TTAGCTCAGTTGCCATGGATGAATCATGATTCTAAATTTCTTCGAGTTTCTCAAGTTTTTGAGTTTGATATGATACCATGTTCTTTGTTTGTGTCGGAGGGGTGTTACCGGTTGTCTGAGTGAGAGTGAGCCTGGGATGCCAGCTCTGTACGAAGCAGCGCATTGAAATGGCCAACGCTAGTTTGCCTAGCCAAGGAGGTGGTAGGGCGAGAGCTGCTAATGCTTGCTGGCCTATTGATTTCTGCTTGTGACTTGTTATCAGGGTGATTATTTTTTATTTAGTTTGGTTTTTATTAAAAAAAAAAGTAATTAAACCAATTTTTTTTAAAAAAACTGAAATCGGTTTAAATTGACTAGTTTTGGTTTGGTTTTTAGAATAAAAATTTATTCAAATTGGTTTGACTTGGTTTTTCTAGTTTTAGCTTGGTTTTTTCTAGCTTGGCTTGGTTTTTTTAAATTGAATAGGGTTTGGTTTTTTTAGTTTTCTGTTCATAAAATTAAAATCGAACAGAACTCGTTGATTTTTTTAAAATTTTAGTTATTTTTTTTATAGTTTAGTTTTTTTAGTTATTTTTTTTATTTTTTTAATTTAATCAATTTTTTAATTTTTTTTAATTTCTTTACCTGTGATCATGAAAATTAGTAATATACTTTGATGGAAGTAGTGATTTATGTTTATGCTTACCACCCAATTTCTACTCAACAAGTTGAAAGGTAAATGACATGGTAGTATAGTTGTTAAACTTGGTCTGGAAGTTGATCCGACCATGAAACCAGATATTGGATTTTGACTAGGGTTAACTTGAAAAAATTAAAAAACATTAAAATTTTAATATTTTATATAAAAAAGTCCATGTAAATATAGGTTATATATATATATATATATATATATTATAAACAAGGAAGTTTAAAAAAATATTTTAAAAAGTTTTTTATCCTACATTAAGAAAATATTGTGTTAAGCTTTTAAGTTGAAATATTTAAATTAAAAAAGTTTTTTATTTCACATTAAAAAAACATAATTTTTTTATTGAGAACATAAAGTATATATATTAATAGGTTTTAAATCCCAGATTGAAAAAACATAACTTTTATGGTAACATAAAATAGATATATAAAAGAGTTTTAAATTCCATATTAAGAAGATACTATATTATCATTTTAAGTTGAAGTATTTAAATCAAAATGTTTTCTATCTTATATTGAAAAAATAACTTTTTTCATGAGAACATATAGTATATATATGAAAGGATTTCAAATCCCACATTGAATAAGATATTATGTTATCTTTTTAAATTGAAGTATTTAAATCAAATTTTTTTTTTATCTCACATTAAAAAAACATGATTTTTTTCTTGGGAACATGGAGCATATATACAAAAAGGTTTTAAATTTTATAATGAAAAGATATTATATTATCCTTTTAAATTCAAGTATTTGAACCAAAAGACCTTTTATTCTACATTAAAAAATATAATTTTTTTCTTGAGAACATAGAGTATATATATTAATAGATTTCAAATCCCACATTTGAAAAAAAAAGAGAAAAAAATCCGGTCTCATCCGGGTTTGATTGGGTCACCCAGGTCACGGGTTGACCCACCAGGTCGCCCGAGTTTGGCTGGATTGTTGCCACAACAAATTTTTTATTAAACCTGAACCAATCCAGCCACGGGGTCGACCAGATTCCTGGCCGGGCCGGGTTTAATAACACTGCATGGCAGGAGAATCCCATGGAGAGAGATTTAATTTAATTTTTAAATTTTTTTATAACATATGTTTTAATTTTTTTTAAATGATATTAGTTTGATCCAGAATGTTTACAAGTTGTGATAACAGTGATTTTTTAAAGTATTTTTTATTTAAAAATATATTAAAATAATATATATTTTTTAAAAAATATTTTTAACATTAAAACATTAAAATGATTTAAAAATAAAAAAATAATTTGAAGTAAAAAAATTAAAATACAAAAATTAAAATACAAAAATAAATAGACGTAGACATGTTTCTTTGATTGGATTTAGAGCAACGGTACCACTCAATCAGTGTGAATAAATGAATAGTTGGAAGTTCGATAGCATTTCAAACCTAAGGAATCTCCATGAGATCATGCTAATGAGTGGGAATTTTTCTTTATATCAGGTTTGAGAATATTACTGTTACTTCGTTGACTCTAGTCAGATTGCTTTCTCAATAAAAACTTTTTTTTGCACAGGCTTTTGGACATTTTTCACTGTTATTTTTTTTTCAGTGAAAATAAAAAGGTTTATATATATATATATATTAAGAACTATGTGTATTAATAAATAAATAAATTAAAATTAAAATTAAAATTAAAAAAATTAAGAAATAAATATAGATCAAAATATTTAATATTGTAAGATAAGATATTTAACAATTATTGCTAAATTTTATTTATTAAAATAATATTTTTATTCAATCAAACAATAATAGAAATAAATACATACATTAAATTGATTGAATAAAATAAAAACAATATCATGCAAAGCTGTAAATATTACAAATATTATTTGAAAATAACTTTTTTTTTTATTTTTAAAAATAAAATCCACCTATACCAAAGATTTAAAAAAATAGCTGAATCAGAAAAATCTCTTTAAAAATAAAATTTATAATTAAAAAATAATTGTAATTTCAAATAGGCTCTCCAAACAAAATAAAAGAGAGAAAGGATATAAATCTAAATATAAATAAAAAAATATTTGAAAAAACCATATATCAAGAAGCATTAATTTGTTAAAAAAAATATATAGAAACTAAAAAAAATACCAAATATTGTTGGGCCTCACTCATGTTGTTAGGGGTCATGCACAGGCTTGCCAGGGCTTTTTTTTTTTTTATTGCATCATGTCATTCACTCAATGTTTTTTGAAAAAAAAATTAAATAACACATCGCACCCGGGCCAAATATTTTTTTCTTTTACAAAAGTTTTGTACATACAAGTTTTTTCAATATAGTTTTATACATAAAACAATTTAAAGTGTAAATTGAAAAGTTTATACATATATATAATCAAATAAATTGAAAACTATGTGTGGTAATAAACATGAAAAAAGGTATTAATAATAACCAAAAAAATCAAATAGAAAAATAAAATGTGTTAATAAATAGAACATTTATTCAGTTGTATTTGCTAAATTTGTTTATTAAAATTAATTTTTTATTCAATTAAATGATATTAAAATAGGCACATATATTAAATTGATAAAATAATAACATATAAGGTTGCACATATTAGAAATATTATCTAAAAATAACTTTTTTATTTTTAAAAATAAAGTTCTTTTATACGAAAATATTAAAAATAAAGTTATTGATGAATTAAAATAATTTTTTCAAAAATTAAATACACACAACAACATCAAAAAACAATCTCTATAAAGATAAGTTAAATAAGAAAAAAAAATCGACAAAGAATATTAATAGAAACATAAATTTTTAAAAAGGATACTAGTAAAGAAAAAAGGCAATATTAGAAAACAATAATTATCCAGTTATTGTGGCTTAATTTGTTAAACTTGTGAATCAAACTATGAACTCAACTAGGCTTAATATTTTTTATTTTTTATTAAATTATTTTTAAAAAAAAAGAGCCAAAAAGAAAAGTGTAGGAGTACGGATAGACTTAGACTTATTTTTAATTTTATTTTTTTAAAGTGTCATATGTGCTTATTTTTAAAATATATATATAAGTAAGCGATGTGCTATCAACAAGCTCAAATTTAGGTCAGTGGAAGCTTTTTTTTTTTTCCTAAAAAACATAATTTTCAAGCCATTTTAATTCAAAAACAACTCATAAACACCCACAAATCATCCCATCAACTTTAAATACCTAAAGAAAATCTAAAAACTTGAAATCAAACCATCAACCCTCTCTCTCTCTTCTCTTTCTAACTAAGAATTAAAAAATAACACAAATAAACTTGTGTATGAAAATTTATTTTTTGAAAAACAATTAATAGAGGGACCTAAATGGTATATATTATGATATTTTTAAGATTGAAAACTCAAGTGAATATTTCATACAATCTTTGTTACACCACGTATATTTGGTGCTTGTTTGAGTTCAATTTCCTTTCTTTTAATTTTACCATTAACTAAGCATTTAGAAGTAATTGGAATTTAATTAAGATCAAATTACATAAAATAAAACTTTAAAAATCAAAACAAAATCAGCAAAAATATACAGGATCATCATAATGTTTTGTTAAAGAATGAACATTGCTGGCTTTACATTATTCATCCCACACATTTTAGTTTTATAATTAAGTAATGATATTTGATTGTGAAAAGGAAGGTGTTGTAATTTGTAGCTTATATAGACAGATGCTGTAATGAAGTGGAGAAAAGCGGAAATGACATTAAATTTTGTGTTCTATCTAGTTTGTTTTCTATTGCAATATTCATTAATAACTAATAAAGATATATTTACAACAAGATGCAAGAGCCATTAAGAAACTAGAGCATTTTTGCTTGAAATGAAAGAAAAAATGTAGGTCAATTCTATAGATTTTTTCTGGCAATTTGTTCCTGACTGTATTTCTTTTGCCTTGTGGTTGCATCTAATTCTTTGTAACACCAAAAATATGGTGTTTAGAGGTGAAAGCAAGGGCACAGAGGAAATGCAATACAAACCAAATAGTATTCATGAAGTGAGGAGAAGTGTATTGTATTTCTAGTTTTAACAAGAAAAAAAAATCCACTTCAAAACTATTCAATACAAATTTATTTTCATATTTTCATTCTTATAATTTAAACGTTTCCATCAATTTTATATTCATCTTGTTATCTTGAAATATTAACTGAAAAATTAACCAAACAAAACCTTGAGATATTAATTATAAATTAAACAAATTCTCATTCCTTCTTCCTCATCCTTGTAAAGCAAGAAAGAGGGCAGATCTTTGAATTTGTTTTGCCCATTGTTGCCTGTGGAGCTCAAGATAGAGAGGTAAGATGAAGAGACAAGCGAGGCAATATTTTGAAGCATGAATACTATCACATAACATTAAAGGAAGAATAATTGCATGTCAAAGAGGATTTTGGACGTTCTAATTTCTACAGCATAAAATTACTATTAGACGCCCGACCTTTTAGACATGATCAGGAATAACATCAAACCATACCTTAGAAGCTAATTATTAGTCCAAGCTTTCGGCTTATTCAAACAACTAAGTTCCACACTAGACCAACACATGTAATAACTAAGACAAAAATACCAACACTAGAACGACAACAGTCCCCATTAGTACGAACAGAACACCCCCTTCCATTCCTCTAAAAGAGGACTCAAACAGTCGCAATTGGATCCATATTGACTGTAGATTCCATGGCCTTCATGGCTTCAAATCTCGGCTGCTTGGCTTGGAATTTGAGGCCTGCATAGAGCTTCATATAGTCCTCAAACACAAATTTTGGGTAGATTTGGCTTTCCTCTGCTTCCTTCTCTACCAATGCCGGTGCTGGATACATGACAGCATCACTGCCTGGGTTGTAGAATGATGCTATTGACATCCTGGTGCCATCTGTTTGAGCTATCACACGGTGCAATACACTCTTGTATTTGCCATTGGTAATTACCTACGTGGCCGAAAAACATTCTTAATATGACACTTGACAATACCAGGATAACATTATTAATGTAAATCTTGTCATCCCTTAACATGGTGTAGATTACTTTAAAAACCGAGTTCCCCACTACTCATGATATGTTTAAAACTACATATTCTCACACTTTACAACCATAATTTGAAAGTGACAGAAAAAATAAGGTAATGATCAGGACTATGTGAGTGTAATTATACCTCAAGTTGGTCACCTAAGTTGATAACAATGGAGTGTTTCATGGGTGGAACATCAATCCATTGGCCATCCTTGAAAAGCTGGAGGCCACTGACCTTGTCATCTTGGAACAGTAAAATGATGCCACCAGCATCAGTGTGAGCCCTGAGGCCCTTGATGAGGTCTGGTTTAGGGCATGGGGGGTAGTTGCTGACCTTGGTACCGAAATTCGGTCCCTTGGACCCATAAAAGGCTTTCTTCAGGTAGCCCTTTTCTAACCCCAGATTCTCACACAGCAAGTCTAGAAGTTGCTCAGCAAGTTTCTCCACTTCCAGTGCAAACTCCTTCATTACCTTCCTGTTAAATTCACAAAAACAAGTAAACAAAGAATATTAAATGATCATCATTAATCAAGAACCACTTCTTTTCTTGGCAACTTATTTAATACCTTGGTTGAAACATAAAGTTATCTGCTTATAATGTTTTCTTTCAAGTATCATTGATTTGCAATATGCAAATCGAACGTCAGAGTTATACGATCTTTATGAATCATTATTACGAAGTTTTGAAACGTTGAATTGAAAAGTCAATTCTTTTGTGTTAAAATTAAGGCACCGAAGACTTTGGTTACTGTCTCCGTCTCCGGACAGAAAAATCAACTATGTAATGAAGATAGTTGAAACATGTTTTCCGTACTTGGAACTGTTTGGACTGAGACTGTCTCAAAATTTTATGATTTTTTCTTATCTATCTCTTCTGTTTTCAAACATAAACCTAACATAACTTTAAGGTTCCGTAAGACAATTGAAAATAAAAAAATGTAAATGTAACCTGTAATCTTCTTCAAGATCAGGGATTTCAGCCATATTAGACTCAGGAAGGTGGCGCAAGAAGAAAGTGCTTTCCCAGTCCAAGTCACTGATTTCAGATTGAACAGCCTCAAGACCTTTGCTGGCCACCATTTCCTTAAACCTTTGCTCCATGCATTTCCTATAGTGCTCCTTTGTGAGTCTCTCCACAGTGTCCAAGAGATCATGAGATATCCCATGGTTCACCAACTTTACAAGTAGTAGTAGACATCAACGAACACATAAAACAGATTGTTAGTATAATGAAAACTCAGTGAATTCTATGGACAAACACATACACATTAAATTTTTTTGCAGGCACCTCAAAGAAACCCCAGTTCTCACAGGCATCTTCAATCTTCTCCATGGTTGGTTTCCTCTCTTCACCATTAAGCTTTGACAAGTCAATAACTGGGAAGCTCTCCATTCTTGATTTTCTCTCTCTCTTTCTAACCAAATCAGAGCTCCTTTGACACCAAGTGCTAACTCTTTCCACTCTAATGTTTGTAGCTCAGTTGTGCGTGAAATGAGGTGATGGGAAGATGGAATTTATAGGCCCTAGAGAGGCAAAAAAAGGAATAACCTTAAAAGCTGGGGGTCATAAAAAAATCCAAATCCAAGGTTAAAAAAGAGAGAGAAAAAAGAACAGGACTATTGGGCATGCATGTGTTGTTGTTATCTTTCTTTCTAGCTATGATAAATGCTTTTAAAGGGTAGGAGACCCCACGTCTTTGTGGCTGTACACTTGGAAAATTATTTTCTTTCTTTGGGACTTGACCAAACGAATAACTCCACACTGGCCATGACTTTTTCAATGCATGCCCCAATATTTATCTCGAGAGAGTGAAGGATCATGCATATCTATGTCGACTGTTTAGAGAATATAAAGATTTCAAGGAAGGTATCTAGGAAGTTGCTTCGTCTTTTTTTTTTTCTTGTTTTTTACCCTGCTCTACTTTATTAGAGTTTATAATAGTTGTAGATATGGTTAAATTTTTTTTTTTTTTATTAAATGAATCAAAACTATATATTATAATCTTTTCGATCAAATTTGACTTGATCGTCAATGAAGCAACGAAATCTAGATGAATGAATTTCTTTATTATAAAAATAGCCCACATGGTTAAATTAAAAAAAAAAGATTAGATGTTAAACTATAGTGAGTTTTTGAAAAATCATTACAATAAGGTTTTATTGAAATCAGTATATACATTTGTGAAATAAATAAGATTTGTAAGAAAATGACTCTTAAAGCAGGGACGAATTTAGGAAGTGGCCTAGTGGTGGCCTAGTGGTGGCCTTGGTGTCTTTTTCAAGGTTTGAAAACTTTTTTAAGATTTGTAGGAAACTTTATTTAAATTTAAAGGGAATTTATTTTATATAAAATATTTTCTGAATAGAAAATGTTTTATATTATTGTTTTAGAATATTTTGTAAACAATGACGTGAAAAATATAATAAAAGCAGAATTATAATGTTTTATTATGATGAAAAAGTGATGGTTGCAGTTGTATATAGTGGCAAAATGGACCTTAGATGACATTCGAAGTCAACTAACTAAGTTGACTCAATCGCTAAGCATTCAAGAGAAGGGAAAAATCCCAGCTCAACCAATGCCCAATCCTAGAGGTCAGGTACACATGAGTGAATCCTCACCTAGTGAACCTTCAAACCATGAACAAGTCCAAGCCATCACTACCCTTAGAAGTGGAAAGATTGTTGACAAAGGTGTAGGTTTTAGGATTCCTAAAGGTATTATAGAGGAGAAATCTAGGGAAAGTGAAGAGGGAATCAAAACACAAGTGACAAATGAGAGTTTGAGTGACAAAGAAGGTGAGATAAATGAGAAAGAGATGAGTGAGAAAGGAGATGATTCAAGAAAAATTGGAGTCAAAATGAGTGATTTAGAATTTGTTCCTAGAGCACCATTTCCACAAAGGTTAGGGAAACCTAAACAAGATCTTATGAACTCAGAAATCTATGAATTGTTCAAACAAGTGAAAGTCAATATTCCACTCCTTGATGCAATTAAACAAGTTCCATCTTATGCAAAGTTTCTTAAGGATTTATGCATAGTCAAAAGGAGATTGAATGTGAAAGAAAGAGCTTTTCTAACTGAACATGCTAGTGCTATCATCCAGTTTAAGACCCCTCCCAAATACAAAGATCCTGGTTGTCCTACCATTTCATGCATTATTGGAAGTCATAAGATAGATCAAGCTTTATTGGATTTAGGAGCAAGTGTGAATTTAATACCATACACTGTTTACGAACAATTAGGTTTAGGAGAAATCAAGCCTACTCGAATCACCCTTCAATTAGCTGATAGGTCAATCAAGATTCCTAGGGGTATCGTTGAGGATGTGTTGGTCCAAGTAGATAAATTCTACTTTCCTGTTGATTTTGTAGTATTAGACACCGCACCAATTCAAGGTTCTAATACCCCCATCCCAGTCATCTTAGGGAGACCTTTCCTAGCTACATCCAATGCCTTAATTAACTGTAGGAATGGGGTGATGAAATTGTCTTTTGGGAATATGACTGTGGAGATGAACATATTCAATGTCTCCAAACAAATCGGGGAACATGAGGACATTAGAGAGGTAGATTTCATCCAAACAGTTTGTCAAGAACACTTTGAGAGAGTGTGGATCAAGGATCCATTGGAGAGAACTTTAATTCATGATGAAAGATTTTGTTCTTTGGAATGTGTTGATGAGGAAGTAAGAGAACTCGAGACTTATCTAGATCCAATGCCTATTATGTCAATAGGTCAATGGACCCCATCATTTGAGCCTTTGATTTCACCCCAAGTGAAAGTTGAGGAATCTCTTGTCCAGCCTGATAAACTAGAAAGGAAGCCTTTACCGAGTGATCTTAAGTATGCATTTCTAGGGGAAGATGAATCATATCCTATTGTGATCTCATCAAAACTTAGCATAGAGCAAGAACACAAACTTTTGAGAGTGGTGAGAAAACACAAGAAAGCAATTGGGTGGAAAATTACTGATTTGAAAGGAATTAGCCCTCTTTTATGTACACATAGAATCTATCTTGAAGAAGAGGCTAAATCTGTGAGGCAAATGCAAAGACGATTGAACCCAAACATGAAGGAAGTAGTGAGAGGTGAAGTGCTTAAGCTACTTGATGCAGGTATCATTTACCCTATTGCAAACTCAAAATGGGTTAGTCCAACCCAAGTTGTCCCAAACAAATTTGGAGTCACGGTAGTGAAGAATGAAAATAATGAGCTGGTACCAACTAGAATCCAAACTGGATGGCGTATGTGCATTGATTATCGTAAATTGAACATGGTGACTAGGAAGGACCATTTTCCACTTCCATTTTTAGACCAAGTGCTTGAAAGAGTAGCTGGAAGAGCTTTCTATTGTTTTCTGGATGGATACTCAGGTTACAACCAAATTGAGATTTCTTTAGAAGACCAAGAAAAAACCACTTTCACTTGTCCTTTTGGTACTTATGCTTATAGAAGAATGCCATTTGGTTTGTGTAATGCACCAGCCACTTTTCAAAGGTGTATGATGAGTATCTTTAGTGACATGGTGGAAAATTTTTTGGAAGTTTTCATGGATGATTTTTCAGTTTATGGGGATTCTTATGAGTTGTGTCTAATGAATCTAGAAAAAGTTCTTGAAAGGTGTGAAGAGACCAATCTTGTACTCAATTGGGAGAAGTGTCATTTTATGGTGACACATGGCATTGTTTTAGGTCACATTGTCTCTTCAAAAGGGATAGAGGTAGATAAGTCAAAAGTGGAAGTCATTCAAAAATTAACTACCCCTAAGACTGTGAAAGATGTGAGATCTTTTTTAGGACATGCTGGTTTTTATCGAAGATTCATTCATTCTTTTAGTACCATTGCCAAACCATTATGTAACTTGTTGTCACAAGATGTCCCATTTGATTGGACATCAAAATGTCAAGAAGCTTTTGAAAAGCTTAAAGGGTTGTTGACAACTGCACCAATCATGCAAGCTCCTGATTGGTCTTTACCATTTGAACTGATGTGTGATGCTAGTGATTTTGCGGTTGGGGCTGTTTTAGGGCAAAGAAAAGACAAGAAACCTCATGTCATATATTATGCTAGCAAGACTTTGAATGATGCTCAATTGAATTACACTACAACTGAAAAAGAACTCTTAGCTGTGGTATTTGCATTAGACAAGTTTAGGTCTTATTTGGTTGGATCTCTTGTTATTGTTTTCACTGATCATGCAGCATTGAAATATTTGCTCACAAAACAAGATGCCAAACCACGTTTGATTCGATGGATCCTCCTACTCCAAGAGTTTAACATTGAAATTCGAGATAAAAAGAGAGTAGAGAATGTAGTAGCTGATCATTTGTCTCGTCTTTCAAGCTATAAGACCATAATTGATGAATCTCCAATAAATGAACTCTTTGCTGATGAAAATTTATTTTGTGCAGGTACTGTCTCTTACATTGGTTCTCCATGGTATGCTGACATAGCAAATTACCTAGCCACAAGTCAGATTCCTTCTCATTGGTCTAAACTTGACAAACAAAAATTCTTGCGCAATGTGCGCACCTTTTTTTGGGATGACCCCTACCTATTTAAATATTATCCTGACCAAATTATTAGGCGGTGCATCCCTGATCATGAAATTCCAAGGGTCATTAATTTTTGTCATGCATTAGCCTGTGGTGGGCATTTCTCTTCCAAGAAAACCATTGCCAAAATCTTGCAGTGTGGTTTTTATTGGCCTACCATGTTTAAAGATGTTCATGCCTTCTGTGTTGCATGTGACCGATGCCAACGACTAGGTAGCCTCACTAGGCGTAACATGATGCCCCTTAACCCCATCCTTGTTTTGGAAATATTTGATTGTTGGGGGATTGATTTCATGGGACCTTTTCCAAGTTCATTTGGTTACCAATTCATCCTTGTAGCTGTTGATTATGTGTCTAAATGGGTGGAGGCCATTGCATCTCGAACCAATGACCATCGAGTTGTGGTCAAATTCTTGAAAGAAAATATTTTCTCTCGTTTTGGCATGCCTCGGGCTATGATTAGTGATGGGGGAAAACATTTTTGTAACAAGCCCGTTGGGATTTTGATGAGAAAATATGGTGTAATTCACAAGGTCAGTACCCCCTATCACCCACAGACTAGTGGCCAAGCTGAGTTGGCAAATAGGGAGATCAAGAACATTTTAGAGAAAACAGTCAATCCAAACCGTAAAGATTGGTCCCTACGACTAGTTGATGCTTTATGGGCATATCGCACTGCTTATAAGACCTCTTTAGGAATGTCTCCTTATAGGCTAGTTTATGGAAAGCCTTGTCATCTCCCTGTTGAGATTGAGCACCGTGCATATTGGGCCATTCGGCAATTCAATGACAATGAAAATGAGGTTGGCAAAAATAGAAAGCTTCAATTGGATGAATTAGAGGAGCTAAGAAATGATGCATTTGAAAATGCAAAAATTTCAAAACATAAGATGAAAACTTTGCATGATAAACATATTCTTAGAAAATCCTTTCATGTTGGTCAAAAGGTTCTCTTGTATAATTCACGATTACATCT